CCCCCACATACAGAACTCCCCCACCCCCCACATACAGAATTGTTCTTTTATCTTATTCATTTATCTGCGTGCATCCGAACCCAACTGATGGTTTGGTTCGTCTGCGACTGAATCAGAGGCAGATTTCTTGTTCTAGACGTTCAACAACCATGCTTACTGGTTCGCGTAAAACATTTAGTCACACTGTTGGATAGTAAGATAGATTTATCTAAACTGAGATATAGAGGATATTACATGGGCGCGCGGAGATACGAATTTTATCTTCGAGTGTTGAAAAGATCTCTCACGAGTGAGCGCAGCGAAACGAGTGAGAGATTTTCAACACGAGAAGATAAATTTAGTATCTCCAAGCGCCCATGTAATATTTTGTTGATTATATATATACTGATTATCCATAAAATCAACTTAATAAGCTTTTTATTATTATAACTAACTAACTAATAGCTTAAATACACATGGTAACGATATTTTCATATGTGAAAATAACATGTTATTTTCACATTTGAAAATATCAGTTTTTCGAAAAGGAGAAATATAAGTATTTTATGGATAATTATATGATAAAACTATTTATTTGATGTCACGTAAAATAGAGAATGTGTGCCAACATAACGGCCATGTAAATCCGGGAGTTTACCAGAGAATGAGTGAAGAGACAGACGATTGTATTATCGTTTTCCTTCTTGAACTTAATAGCTGTTTACCTACTCTCGTAAATTCAAATTTATGTTAGTCCGCCTAAATTAGTAAACAACTTATCTAATTTAGGTGACGTCAATAAGAGTGAAGTCCCTAAACCCGTGACGTGAAATAGATATTCGACTAATACACATTAGTATTTTTTACACAAGTTAATATAGTAAATCCGGCRCGCTCATTGGTTGCAATTTACTTCTTATGCGCTATATTCACCTACAGGTGAATATAACTCTCGCACGCGCACGCTCGTTTGTCGATTTGTGCCGCTAGCAGGGATAAATAAAATTTGAAAAGACAGAAAAAAACAAACTCTTTCTCCGTTATTTATTAAATTCGCTTGTGTTAGAAATACTAAAACGATTAGTAGACCCTAATGCCATCGTTTTCTTTTGTGTCTACTTGACTGACATTTTTTCATTTCGCGGGTTAATTGCCTTCACTCGGTAACAGTTTGACTAAATTCACTTTATTCGTTTGTTCGTTTGTTCGTGAACGTGAAAGAATCTATGTCATTGCTAAAGTAAAATACACTCTTACCCAGCCAAACCGATGTCTTCCAAATATAAAGCCATACGAGCACGTGGTATGGGAGGTCTGAATGTCCACTCATAGTGGGCTTGTTCCATGTATCTTGGGTATCCGGGACTCCTGATCACACCAGTCAGAGTTGTAATATTCATGTAAATAGCTGCGTACGAAAAAGGTTGAGCACGGATTATTGGTTGGTCTTCTTTGAAGCCGTCGCTATTGTAGGATAATTCATTCATTAATACTGAGTAACTATTACAATTTTCTCGAATCTGATTGGTTGACAGAATGTCCTATCTTTGCATTTTAGCATGGACAGTTTGTAATCGGCAAGTTGGAAGAGCCAATTTTACAAAAAAGAGTCTTCTTTCCTTTCTCTCACTTGGGGGAAGGTAAACTTTCGAGACCAAACTTTTTCTGTAGATGGAGAATCCTCTGTTCAATGTTTTGTGTGGTGTTTTTGAGCCGATGGAGCCACCATAACACTGGTTCTCAGAGAGACGGAGGCTTGCTTTGGGGTTTGCGACCAAGACTCGTTTATGCTGGTTCAATTTGACCGTAAAAAAATCTTGCCTCGACGAAAAGCGTCTCTCTTCTATCAGCATTACAAAATATTCTATTTTAGACAAACCGAATCCACGGACTTTCTTCTGTCTTCCAATGATTAAATCTCAAATAGTCTTCTACTCTATTCAAAGTATCCAATGTGCCCAGCACATTTGACACGTTTTCCCGTGTCAAAACTTGTTAGGAGTTTTTTTCGAATAAGCCCATAAAAGTCGCGTGCAAAATTTGAGGGTTTTCCCCTCTTGAAGTTCAAAACGCGTATGGTCCTACAATAAAATCGTGTAGATTATTCCTCGGTTTTTGAGTGCGCGTGCATCGTGGGCTCAAATCGAAGGTTCAAAGGTAGGCAGCCACCTTAATTGGAAATAGGGCTTCGCGTCGTCCAATACTGTCTGTAATCATACTCAGAATAAAAAAATTGCACTCCCACTATACGCAGTCGTCCCATTTTATTTATCCCTCGTATGATTACAGACCAAATTGGACGACGCTCAGTCCTATTACCATCATTAATTATCTTGTGCGATAACGTAATAAGCATTATATGCTGCTGATCACATGAAATCAATTGAAATTCGTAACGAATTTAAGTTCAATCTCTAAATACTGAAAAGGTTGCGAGGAGATAATTGGTTGCACGGTCTTCCTTGAAATCGCCGTCAGTGAGGCATAATTTGCGATTACGTAATAAGCATCATATAAGTAGACTCAATTTTGCAAGTCAATCAGTTCACCAACATTGACTTGAAGAGACAGGTTGTCGAACCCAAACCTGTTGTTGAAACAATTAGCACTTTTTGCTCTTCGTCGTATTAATGAATAAGCGCGCGTAAAAAACAATGCGCACGCGTGCACGGCGTCCATAGCAATACTGCCAATTATCATAAATACATAAATACATTACACAAATACACAAATACACAAATACACAGATACACAGATACACAGATACACAGATACACAGATACATAACTATATGTGTCGGTGTTCTAGCATATCACAAGTAAGTAGTACACTAA